CATCTTCAGTCAAACAAAATTCCTTAACAGCATCCAAGATCTTCCTAAAATTACATGAACTAAAATCTGTATAATGGCGTCACCACATAAATTCACAAAATAAGAGTAAAAAATATCCTCCATAGCACCGTATCGTCTGACTATACACGTTTCGTTTCTACAAACAGGACACTTAATAATGGCTAGTAAGTAAATCTTCATTTACACATCAGTCAAATAAAGCTCCTCTTTTTCCCTTTCTTTCTAAATCGTACAGAAACTTCAAATTAATCTTATTACATTCAGACATTTTACCATCTAAACCCGGAAACAAGCAATATACTTCCTAACCAACACACACGACAAGTCCTTACAAATTCACCACAATAATGCAACCGATTACGTCATAATAGGGTTTGCATAACATTTAACTACTCAGGCTACCATAAATAAACTACCACTTGGCGATAAATGAAACAACAACTTCGCGATAATACAAGTAGATTCGATACCCTTCTCTCCACTCTAACCAAATAATCTATTGTATACTTCAAGTTCAATATTATTATCATTAGAGATGATAGTAGTACCGAGATATGCAAACTCAGAAACGCTTTCAAAAGTATAAGACTTTATTTGTAGTGGGAGTAGATTATGTACTCTACTAGTTACTGCCATAAATTTTGTTTTACACCCATTTAAGGGAACTCCAGTGTCTCTGGCTGCAGACTAAAACAAAATAAAAGTCTCCACAACTGCCTATTTACTTCTGCGAATACTGTTGATATCATTAGCATATACTAGTAGCTGTATAGATTTCTGAAATATGGCCTCTGGTTATAATTCTGGCATCTCTAATAACCTTTTGAAGGGCAATACTGAAAAACATGCATGCAACCCCCCTTTCAGTGTAGAATGCCTCTGATAGATCAGATACTGATTTTAACTCTTCAATTTACTCTCTTTAAAGTTTTGCTATATAGATCAATCAATTTTCTAGGAAATCCAAATTCCAGCATAGAATCAAATAGCTTTTCATGGTATATGCTACAATAAGCAGCTTTAAAATCTACAAAAAGATAAAAGGTATTAATATTATGTTCAATAGCTTTTCTTCCCAAAATTTATCAAACAGAATGAATATGATGAACAGTAGATTTTCCAGCTTGAAATCAACATTGGTAGCTACCAATAACTGTAGATGCATATGGTAATAACCTTATATATAAGATATGGGAGAAGATTTTAAATGCCACATTTAAGAGGGTGATACCTCGATAGTTGCAACATTCAAGTTTGTCTCCTTTTTTAAAAATAATACAAATGGAGACCTCTTCCCATTCAGTGGGCATCTGGCAGGCACAAATTTAATCCGGACTCGTCTTGACTTCGCGGCGATTCGGATTTATCGGTTTTTCCGGATTGTAGATCATCATTAATCTGGTAAATGCATCATAAATTATAAAATAAACTATAAACCTATTTATGAATAAAGAGAATTATGATATAAGGGATCAAAATTACAAAAAAAGGCTATTTTATTTGTTACTATAAGATTCTTTCACGCGCACATGCTAAAGCACATTACACATGTCAATTAGAAAATTGCAACCAAAACTTTGATGTATCGTGATCTTTATAATACTAGAATTTGATTTAATCACACCAAGATGGAGAACATCGGATGAATACATTTGTAGGATTATAAGCCGAAAATAAAAACCTCCGCTGAAGATAGGATAGTGCTGACAATCACTTCCATTTATGTGCACCCGTGACGTTTCCCCCCCGAGAGCGCGTAAAATTGATAAACCATTCGCATGTAGAGACAAGATATGCCTTTATCCATTTTTTCGCTAATTCTTTGGAATAGGTAATAGGTAGTTTTTGGCGACATTTCGGTAAGGCATCAAGGTTACCATCTAGACTTAGCATTGTACAATGGATAAGTCAGAGGTGCGCACTGCCATTTTTTGAGCAATTCTGGGATGTTTTTTTAAGTGAAAAAGGTCGGACGTGTAACATGGTACGTATATTGTGGTATTCCTTAAAATACGGCAGGAGTTAGAGATTCTGCACTTTCTCCAGTTCGCACCTAATCTTCGTCATGATTTAAGCCCTTTTGTTCTCATAAAAGTTCAGCTACCGTAATTCGCTAGCAAATTGTTGGGACAAATTTGAGTAAACAAAAAAAAAAAATGCCTTTTACACGTGAAAACAAAATTACTCCAAACAAAAACTAGCATGTTGCTGTGCAGGGTTTTTTGGTCGCAAATTTTGTCAAAAAACTGTCAAGTTAACCGATAATATCCAAAATTAACCCATTTTTTTGCAGAATTCCACTTTTTGTTTGAGTGGCACATCGAAACCTGCATTCACTTTGTAGATCCCTTATTAACTCCAGAATCTGAAATTCTTTTTGACATAAGCGAAATTTAAAGCGTTACTTTTATAAAATTGCCTCTAACAGTCTTCAAAATTATAATAAGCCTGATTCCAATTAGAAGATCAGGAACAAACGCAATCTGCAAATAACTGAAAAGATATTAATATTTTAGCTCGCTTATACCGTTCGTTATACATTGAACGCACATGCGTAAACGAATTATGCATTTACGCATGCGCAGAAAGTTTGTAGCTTTGAGCTCCGGATTATAGATTATTCCGGATTAAAGACTTTTGACTATACAACACAGTCTAAATCTAAGCAAATGTGTATGTATTTTTCAAGTGTTGGAAAGGGAGGAGGGAAGGCTTTTCTAACAATGGTGAAAGGGGTGCATGGGCCAAAATAATTTACTCTATAAACTTTCCAGACATCTATGTTATGGTATTTATTACAATTTAGGCCATGCCTTTGAGACACTTTTACAATTGATGCATGAAAGCAATATCCGTTTTATTTTCACTTGAAAATGCATTACCTCATAATAAATATTAATCTAAAATGTGTATGTAAGAAGTATTTTTGTGTTTTATTCTGGAGGGGGGGGGGAGAAGTCCATAAATATATTTCCTTTGTATTCTCAGTTTAGTTATGCAACTGTAATATTTTTGTTCTCTGTAACATTTATCATTTTCCAGGTTACAACTTTAGTCTGATCAAGAAGAATAAATTCAAATTAAATGTAATCCAAATTTTTATTGTATGGAACTTATTTCTAATTCTAAGCTTGCAAAAAGAGTTGGGCAAATACTAACACATGTTGGATAGATAATAAAGATTAAGAACAGCTGAAAACAGTAAAAATCATAATATACAACCAGCAACAGAAATCTAAGGCAGAACAAAACTATTAGTGTTTAATGATCTTTATATATGCTACTTCATAAAGACTGGACAAGCTTTAGAAATATTTAAGAATATTTGCTGAGGCAATTAAAGATTCTTGTATTAGTCAGTATAAGTGGTACCTTAGAGCTAATGCCTGTTTCAAAAGTGGCCAGGCTTCATGTCATTAAGAACTGCATGTTACAATTCAGGAATATTCAAGAACCATAATTAGGTGTTTATCATGCTTCAAAATTAGCGATGCAATATTTGCACAAAAAGGAATATTTTAAGTAAATTAACAAGGATTTTGTATTTAAAAAATGCTTATTTAAAATAAATAAATAACTATTATTGCTTTTGCTCTCTATTTGAGGAAGTATATATTCTTTGGGTGCACAAAACGCAAATTTTTCTACACTTTTTTATAAAATAAATAAAGCATTTTCTTCAGGTTTTCAGTTTTTCTCAATTACAATACTTTAATAGCAGTAAACTAAAAATAAAAGAAGAGACATGCTGCTGTTTACAATAATGTAAAAATAATGCACTAATTTAAAAGACTAGGAATTTTTCTTGACTCTTAACCTATACAGTCTCCTCATGATAATGGTAATAAACATGGAAAAGTTTAAAAAAAAGTTGGACAGTAAGCTGTCAAACTATTGAGGTTTAAAAAAAAAGCATAGTTGTATAGTTATTTTTTCTATTGTGTAGGCATTCAGTCCATGCAGTTAAGTTCACTGCCAACATAGAAATCAAATCTCACTACTAAATCACATAGCTAATTCATTGGCAATTAGGATATTAAGTATGTTTTATTTTTCCTAATGCAAATCAGAACTACACATATTTATAGGGCATTCAAAAGATTTGAGGTACATCATGATTATATATTCCTTATAAAAATAAATAGTAAGGCAAAGTAATGCATCAAACAAGTTAATGAACATTATATAACAAAACCAATTCTAGAATGACTGCAATCAAATACTGCATTTTAAACCAGATAATAGAAGCATATTTCCATCTTAGTGACATAGAAATTTAATATGAAATTATATTTCCATATACGTATCATGTTTCAATATTTATGTTACCAGAGCAGAAAACTTGCAAAACAGTACACATCTTGACATAAGTATCAACAGAAGCTAGTTATTTAATACGATACAAAAGTAATTGCCCTACATTTCTGTCATAAATGCACATTACTTGACTTTTAATACTAAATAGATAACAGATCCACATTAGCAATTAATTACCAAACAAAAATAAACACTTTTTCATTGCCCCTCCCTTGGTATTCTTCACACAGTTTTTACCAAAGAATTTGTAAGGAGCCAAATTGTCCCCACTAAGATACCCTGCTATATTTCCTTGTTAAAAAGTTAACATTTAAAGCCGTAGGGAAAATAAATTCCTCGCTCTTTAAATTATGGTATTAGTTAATTTTTTATCGTTGGTCGAATTAAAGCCAAGTGTGGTAACCCTAAACTAACATTATAGCCAATAGGAAGAGAGCACAACGGATTATTCCTTCAGATAATATTTTATCCGTTGCATGGCGCATGTTATTATTTACGTTAAAAATACAATCTTGATTTCTAACAAAAATGTTTTCAACTAGAGGTGTGAAATTTAAATTTTCGGAAGGAGAAAGAGTGTTGTGTTATGAACCGGATCCAACTAAAGCAAAAGTATTGTATGAATCAAAGGTAAACAACTAATTATTATTTTCTTGATACACTATAGTATATTTTTATGTACACAATTCAGTGTTTTTGTAGTTTTTGATAGTCTACGAATTTAATCCATTGCTTTAGAGAAAAATGCATTGTTATTCCAGTAACGGTGCACTCCAAAATTTTCCATCGCTTAAAAGTAACAGAAAGAAAAAAAGACTGATCAATTTGATTCTTGCTTTCGGTGAAGTTGCTTTCTGTGTTGCTTATTTCTTAATATTGTGTTTGTAGCTTGCTTTAAACAAAAATCAATGATTTTTCAGGCGCGAAGAGAAAAAATTACGTTTGAATTTTAAATAAATTTTTCATAGAAATGAATCTTCTGTGAAATTGTACTAGCAGTTCTGAAATGTGTACATTTTATTTACATACTATTGAGAAAAAGCTGTGAAGTTCGTAAATTTTGTTTACATAGTAGTGAGAAAAGTATATACTCATATTGTATTTCCTATTTATTAGTGTGGATGGATAACATTTTTTTTTCTGATAAATTAAAATATTTCAGGATGACTTGGGTTTTTAATCGGATTCATACAGTTAATACTTCTTATACATTTCAAGATCTAATAGGTAGATTATATAGTTGATGAAACTTGGTATCAGTTGAAAATCAGTGCTTAATAAAGAATTTCTAATTCTATCATAATTCTTTGTTTTTAATTCCACCATTTCCTAAATGTATTGTTCTAAAAATATATCCTGTGTTATTTAAAACGTTGCATAAAATATTTAGTCTTTTTTAGATTTCATACAGAATTAAACTGTTATATATTTAAGAGCTAGATTCTCATTTGTTATTTTTTGTTTTTGCTCTATTTCAAACTGTTAATTAATAACAGTTTAATAATTTTCTCTTGAATTTGGAAAAGTCCACTTGAGTATTACTAAAAGCTGACTGTCAAAAATTTTATTTTTCATAAATATTAGTGGTCAGTACAAATACACCAGTGCAAATTTAAAAATTTACTATTTTAAATGTTTGGTTTAAATTTAAACAAAGTAATAAAATACTAATTAGAATTTCGAGGTGTCCATATAACCAACCTCCTTTAACCACTAGCGATGCATATGTATTTATTTTTGTTTTGTATGTTAATAAGCAAGTTAAAATTTTGTTGATTAACAAACATTAGGCTTTTTTTATGAAAGGTTTGTCTTGGACATTTAGTGCTTTGAGGTAGCGTATAATTAGTTATTAATTTAGAAGTATTTATAATTAGTTGTTCATTAAATCTGACAATAAGATTTTTTATTATGAATGTAAAAGTTATAATAATTAGCATGTGTATAATTTTTTAAATAGACGGTTTTGTAGGATAAGATTATTATATCACGTTGAGCCATTTTTTTCTATGTGGATTTATATACTTTAGTTAATGTAGTCAAGGATTTCCTCTGCAGAAATGATTATTCTGAAAAATATCTGAAAGTATTTTAGATGAAACATAAACAGCTGGCATTTCTGTTACGAAATATAACGATTTTTTGTCAAGAAACTTATTCTTTGAGCGCTAAATTGGCAAGTGTTTTTATCGCCAAAATTAGTTATGTGATACCATAATTGTAAATAAAGTATTGTCTGACAAAAGCTACATCTAAAAATTATTGAATATCAGTGTTTGGAGGTAATATGAATTTTAAATATATTCTGATACCTAAATTTAATTATGTGTAGAATTACAATTATTTCGTAACTCAAAAATTTTAGGGTTAGTGCGTCTTGCCGAGGTACTACCAAAGAATCTTCTTTGCTACAGCAGTCTATTGGAATCGAAGGAATTTTCATACTTGGCGAAACATCGCTTTCTTGGCACCAGTAGTGTTGCATTCTCCTATCTTCATGCGTGGCGAGGAATAGAGGTCTTGACACCGGTATCTGTTCATTTGCGTAAATATAACCTTTATCACGCATAAGTATTTGGAATTACTGGGGAAAAAAAAAAAAAGAGCTTTGTTTTTGTTTCACAGTCGGTGAAAAGAGGTCTGGAATGTTTTAAGAATTTTTTCTATTGTTCCATGTATTTGATGTAAAATGAAATAATTAAAAAATTTTATTGTCTGTGAATACTTTCTTGATGAGAATAACATTACTTAATTTGTATTTTTTAAAATGAATATTTAAACTGACATTGAAAAAATGAATAATTGCTACAGAGGTTATTTTGTTCCTATATCTTTTTTTTTTTTTTTTTTTTTTTTTTTGTATAGTAAGGGTATTTTTGCTTGCTTGTAGATTCTGCATTATTTGATTAAGCACTGTTCAGTTTTTGTAATTTTTTGCAAATTAGGATATAACTGAGTTTGCAGTTTCCCCCATTAACTTATTAGTGTATAAGAGATCAATGTGAAATTTGTTGAAAAAATTTTAATCATATTTTTTTAAATTATATAAGAATATGTGGGATTTTTATGAAAAGTGAGATACATTTCATTGCCACTTGTTTCAAATCATGTTATGTTGAATAGTTCTTCGTAAGGTGTCAGGTAACACTGTATGATTTTGAAGCATCTTAACATACTTGAAACAGATGAAGTGGAACACAAACATTCAGGCAATGAAATTAAAATTATAAACAAGATTTCAAAATTTTGTTGTGTATCAAAGCAGACTTAACAAAAAAAGAAAGAGATAAAAGTGCTATAGAAAGAGTGAGGCCATTTGTCACGGAAGAGAAAGCAAATAGCATTATCATGATGTGAATGTCATAGCAGTTCAAACTTCCTTTGTCTAATTTTTATGAAGCTAAAATTATAAGAATATAAACTTCATATTTGTTTGGATAATTAAAAAAAAAAAAAATTAAAGAATAAATGCTTAATTCTATAGAATGTTTACATAGTTCTGGCAGTTTTATATTTTAATTTTTAAAACACCTTAAGTACTTTTTTGGGGCAATAATTACTAGTAACTTATGATATATAATGATTAAAATCATGTGCTCATCATGTCCTTTTCTGAACTAGAATAACCATCTTTGTAATAATTAAAAAATATAGTCTTAAGTGATCATCAGAGTCAGATTTAGATTTGATAAGGCCTTAAGCTATTTGAGATCTGGGGCCCTTTATAAGTCTGTTACAATATATTTTAATATTATTTATACTATATTTTAATTTTTTGTGGGCCCCCAAGCTATAGCTTATGTAGCTTATACTTAAATCCGGTCCTGTAAGTGATTTATAAGCAGCGGTGAGCTATGAAAATAGTAACAAAGGGTACATTTCCGTTTTGCCGGCGCAAATGATGCCAAACGGAATATCTTCGCTAGTGACCTTTTACGCTTCGTTTTCAAAACAAGTCGCAGTCATTCCTTATCAGATTAATTGTTTCTTTCAATATTGGCATACAATTACATAGAATTTTTATAAGAAAATTATTTTTATTTAGAGAAATTCTTTTTAGAATTTTTACCAGATAGTTCAATTTTATGCCCAAAGGCCATTCGTGGTAATTAAGTCTATTAAGATGCAATCACACTGCTCAACCGAAGGTCAAGGGTTCAATTCATCAGTTTTAATGAGAATGCACTGGCGAAGTAAAGCACTGTGGTTTTACATACTTTCTGAATAAGCTATTCATACAAATTGAAATAATTCTTGGATTTAAACTTGCATTACAAATTAAGATTTAACTTGAAATTAGCGTAGACAATTATTGAGAGAATTAGATTTTTGGCGTAGTTTACATGAAATGAGTTCACTTGGTATCACATGATATGAAACGGCAAATCAGGATGTCGTACCATGAAAGCATAGTAAATTCTTAAATTAATGTCTTTTTACAAATTTATTGTCTTTATTAATTAGCTTTTCACAAAATTTGAAACAATATTAAAATGTTTATGCCTTCAAAATAAAAAATTCTTAAAACTAACCTTTGTTAACATTTTTATGTGTATACTGTGTGTTGTCACCAGTAAAGTCTGCTTGGCGAGATTTGCGTCGGCGAAAAGGAAAAGTATCTAACAAAGTACCTACATTGTGTTTTAAAAAACAAAGTATAAAATTTTAATTAAATGTTTTACTTTTTTATATACTGTTTATACAAATAATTCTGGATAGGAAATACATAAAAAGATTTTGAAATAAAGAAACTTTTAAAATGTGCCTTAATTCTGTGGAAGAATTTTCGAGAGAGGTTAAAATGGATATTTTCGTTGAAATATGGTACCCAAAATTTTTCGCAATACTTCCTTTACTTTGCACAAGGAAATAAAGAAGGAGGGGAATCATAGACTTGTAAACAAAACTAATCATGGAAACTATGTATAATTTAATTCAGGAAAGAAATTAAATTAGGAATTCATATGCAAAGAACATGATGCAAGATAACTTCTGCAGTTTTTTGTTAAAGTGGCTGTTCCAGCTTGGTTGCTAAAATTGACACACTTAATTGTTAAATTTGTAAACATGCAATTTAAAATGGCCACAGTGGTTATCATCAAAATTGGAATCTAGTTACTGTTTTAACAAAGAATTAACGGTTAATCTTTGAATTATGGTAACTTGGCGATTTTTTGGCGACCAACCCTGCTACAGCAACCTGCTAGTTTTTGTTTGGACGCCATTTTGGTTTCACGAAGTAAAGGCATATATTTTTTTTTTTGGCACTTACGTATTAACGCAACCAGGCCGAAATTCGCTTAAATCGCCAAATTTGGCAACCCTATGTGTTATACATAGTTTTGTAAAAGGAATTTATTTGGTAAAAGAAAAAATACACTCGATGTGTACTACCTACAGCATGGGTTTTTCGGCGGAATTTGGCCGAGAAAAGAAAGAGGAATACTTTGTTTGTTACTGTACCTACATAAGCGCCGTTACCCTCAAAAAAATGGAAAAAATTTGCAAAATATCAAGGAAGGAAGCATCATGTATTCGTATTGCTGGAAAGGATAACAATCCAAGTGAGTTCGAACTGCTGGCATTCTGCATGGAACTGTTAATCAACAAATAGAACTTTGTGGATCCGC